GTACAGTCGGGATAAGCAAGAGCACTTAGCGGATCTCGAAGCGGTATTTAAAGTTTTAGAGGAACATCGGTTACTCACCTAGGGCTCTAAGTGCGAGTTTTTTCGGGACAGACTAGAATTTTTGGGGCACGTTATTTCGGAGGCTGGAGTTGAAATCGACCCCAAGAAGCTGGATACGGTAAAAGCGTGGCGTCCCCCGACGAACATCACGGAACTGCAGAGTTTTTTAGGGTTCGCTAATTATGTGCGTCGGTTCGTCCCCGATATGGCACGGTTAACTGCCCCACTGACGGATTTACTGCGAAAGGGGGGTCGTTTTTACGTGGGGGGAGAAAGAGCATGCTGCCTTCTCTGCCCTGAAAAATGTTCTCTGTTCACCGCCCGTCCTACGCATCGCCGACCCACACCGCCCCTTCGAGGTTGTTACAGACGCAAGCGACATCGCCATTGGAGCCGTACTGCTACAGGACTTCGGCAACGGCCTACAGCCCATCGCATACGAGTCACGAAAACTGCATCCGCCCGAGCGAAATTACCCGATACACGATCGCGAGATGCTCGCGATCGTGCATGCGTTCAAAGTGTGGCGCTGCTACTTGACCGGCGCAGACGTGACAGTACGGACAGACCACCGATCACTACAGTACCTCCGCGCACAGCCCAACCTCAACCCACGACAGATTCGGTGGCTCGATTTCCTCGAGTCAAACTTCCACTACACAGTCACCTATAAAAAAGGAGCCTCGAACATCGCCGACGCACTGACCCGCCCCACTGCCCAGATCCACGCGATACTACTCGCCCAGACCTCTCAGAATCCCAACCACTAGACCATTGGGATAATAGGGTTTGTTTCAGTAGCAGGTCAGTGCGCCCATAACCCCCCAGGCAAACGCGCCTGTAACCCCCCCTAGGATCGATCCAGGATCTCACAGTGTAGTTCTACTGACAAGACCAGCCCGCTACTGACAGGACTATTTACCCACGGATATCAAACGGACCCATTTTCCCCAGGAGGAAATTCGCAGCAGTTCGCAGCAGCCAAGGGAGTCTATTACGTAAAAGCCGGGACCGAGCGCATCTGGGTACCAGGGTACACACTGCTACGGGAATTACTATCACAGGAGGCACATGACGAGGTTACCTCGGGACATTTCGGGGTAGAGAAAACACGGCAGCAGCTGCAGCGGTATTATTACTGGCCCGAAATGTTGACCGACGTGCAGCGACACGTGGCATCGTGTCCCACTTGCCAGATCATGAAGTCAACCAGGAAGCGGCCGGCGGGACAGTTGCAGCCAATCCCACCTCCAGAGCGTGCTTGGCAGCAGGTGACGATGGACTTCGTCACGGGGTTACTGGCCGGGGCGAGTGGAAATGACGCGATCCTGGTCGTCGTCGATCGACTAACGAAAATGGCACACTTCGCAGCCTGCAAAAAATCAATCACAGCCGAAGAAACAGCCCGCCTCTTCATCTCTACCGTCGTTCGACTGCACGGGATACCAGCATCAATCATCAGCGACAGAGACACGAAATTTACCAGCAACTTCTGGCGGAACCTGTGGCAGCAGTTCGGCACGCGACTACAGTTTAGTTCATCGTACCACCCCGAAACGGATGGACAGACAGAACGGACAAATCAGACCATGGAACAGCTCATCCGGGCCACGTGCGACGACCCAAACACGTGGGAACAGCAACTGCCACTCATCGAATTCGCATACAACAACGCCCCATCCGCCACGACCCAACAGTCACCGTTTTACCTGAATTACGGACAAGACCCAACAGTACCCATGACCCCGAATCCCGACAACCCAGTTCCACGCGCACAACAGTTCGCCGAAATTTTGCAAGCAGCACGGACCAGGGCAGCAGACGCAATTAAAAAAGCTAACATCATCGCTAAACGCAACGCCGACCGCCACCGCAGACCTGTCACTTACCAGCCCGACGACTTAGTTTTGCTCGACACCCAAAATTTCCGACTGCCTATCACCCCGAAACTCCGCCCCCGATACTGCGGGCCATTTCGCATAAGCCAGATGATCACACCTGTCACCGCCCACCTCCTCCTCCCTGCTGACTGGTACGTCAGCCCCTCGTTCCACGTCAGCCTGCTTTGCCCTTACGTCCCGTCCACGAACCAACTGCCACGCAATCGCCCAGCCAGCACGACAAGACCACCGACTGAACCAATCATCACCCCCGAGAAAATCCTGAGTCACAGAGTTCGCGACCCTCGAGGAGCCCGAAGGATCGAGTTCTTACTCCGCTGGAAGAACTGTACACCACAGTCAGCACCGTTACCACTCGCAATCCTCGCATCGACAATCCGCCCGCCACCTTCGCACGTCGCACCCCGACCTCACGGCTCGGCGGGTAACCCGCGCTCCGGGCCTCCGCTTCAACACTTTTCCCAACCTCAATCCCAGGCCCGTCGCGCGACAACCACATTCCATTACCGTTACCACTGTAGTTTCGCTATATATTCTTCGCTCATGCCTTCGCTCATTGGACTCTTGCTTCGATAGTGCAATTCTCGCTCGTTCACTCGATTGGAAGCACTGCGTCGCATCCCACGAGGATGGCTCTTGGTCGCGAGGCTCGATTCTTTGAAGGGAGGAGATGATTCTTTGATATTTGAAATGCTGCTTCCTGAGATCCCTGAAGGGCTCGATCCCTGAGGGTGCCCCGCAAAGCTCTGCATGCGGACCGCGACAGCTAGACAAGACGGAATAGCTCTGACGAGTTCAGTAGTTAGCGAATCGAGACACGGATAAATATCATTGAGCACTGACAGCGCGTCTAGTCAGAGAGTGGGAATAACCAGCTGCAGGTGATCTGGAACTCAGAAGTATGTGTCCAAATCAGCGTCCACTCGGCAGCGGGAATCTGCTTCGCGAGAAACAGGTCACGAAATTTCGTCTGAGAGGCTGTCGTTTCTCCTGCAAGGGGTCGAAATGCAGGGATTTTCGGTAATGATTGCCACCCACTGCTTACAAGCTCCCCGCCCAGCAATCACTTCTCTCTAGCGAGATTGCTGACCGTGTTTCTCCACCTCGCATTCTCCTTGCTTCGTCCTTAGCGCTGTTCATTCTCGAGGTTACCGTTTGTTCAGAATCTGCATGACATTCCCAGTTATGGAAGTAGTCACATTACCGCTCATATCCTCAACGGCTATGGGAAATAGCAGGCGGTTGGATGCAGAATCCACCGCTGCCTCTCTTTCCGACTTACCCTCCAACACCTCTGGGTGGGACTCTTTGATTAGACTTCCAGGCTGGAAAACAAGCTCCCAGTTTTCTTGATTGCATGGCATTTACGGTGAAATTAATGGCCGAGGATGGATGATGGCGCCAGTGATGATGGCCTGTGCACCACGCGAGCTTCTTGTTCCGATTTTTCTCTCCGAAGTATCTTCAGTCACGAGGTGCGAGCTTCATTTTCGTGTTTCAAGCGAATTTAGAAAGATCTTGCTTCCATGTCAGCTACTTCTTAAGTTCCTGCGACGTAGAGTAATAATAAGCCTGCTCACTATCTCTGTGTGCATAGAACGTTTCAACCACGAGTAAGTAGTCTGACCCTGCGGAGCTAGCTCAAGGATTGATTCTTCAGAATTTCCATTACGACTATAGCTGTTGCCCTTCTACCATGCATCCTGAAGACTTCACGTCTCTAGAGATCCAAGAAAGTCAGTACCCTTTATGCTACTGCTTTCTAATGTTTCAATTCCTCCATGATAATCGCCGATTTTCACCTGATGCGTCGTCTTATGCTTTCAGGAGATGGCGTTGCTCGAAGCCCACGTCGGCGAATCACGAGGCGAAGCTTTCAGCCGCGGATCTGGGTGAAGCTGACGTTTTTCGTTGGTGCTCTAGTGCTGATCTGCTCGGGTGTTTTGGCCGTCGTTCTGTGGAGGCTGTCGAAATCAACCTTGACTGGAGAAATTCGAGAGAGACTTGACACTGTCGCAAGCCTTCGTCAAGAGCAGGTATATTCTAATTCTGGCTATTTTGACAACTGAATCAGCTGCTTTGTTGGTCAATTCCGTCAAAATTTTGTAACATTTTTGGTTTTTTTTTTAATGTTTCGATGTGTATTTGCTGTGTCAGATTCTGGCCTACATCATCGGAACACAAGACACAGTGAAGCTGATTGCATCTCGTGTTGTCATTTCATCCCTGCTGCTCATGCACAAGCAAGGGAGGTCCAATTTGACAAGAAATGACTACAAGATGGGCACGGAGGGTCTGGATTCTGCTGTCATGAGTGCAGCTAATGTCATGGCGTTAGGAGCATACAGCAGCGACGGTGAACTTTTGTTTTCCAGCAAGCATCCAGCTGATATGGAGCCGCTTCCAAAACGCTTGCGCGGGCGAGCACTGGTTGTGCAAAGTCGGAACATTTCAGTGTGGTCTGGGACTCCCTATGCCGGACGCAACAATACTTTCCTGATCGACATTACAGCTTCTGTAGACTATAAGGTATGTAATTTCATTCAACGGGTTTGATATTCCCTTTGAACTATCTGTTCCAAAAAAAGAGATGCTCTTATTTTTCTCTTCTGACCCTTTTTGCCTTTCAGGACACCTTTTGTGGAATTATTTTGGCAACAGTTGACGCTGAGAACTTCAAGCAAACTGTACATGATGGAACTGGTCTTCAGTCCACTGGAGAGCTTCTTGTTGCATATGTCAATGATGGAGAGGACGTGGTGAAGTTCATAGTTCCACCAATCAAGGCTCCGTCTGTGAAAAACTCCACTTACAAGGGTGCCGCCTTCAGAGCAGGGAAGGGCCAGACAGGATATTACCAAGGGGCTGACTTTCGTGGTGTTGAGGTTGTTGCTTCTTACCGACCCATTGGCTATGACTCTTGGGGTATGTCCTGCAATTTTTGTGTGCGTTAGTTCCTTGACTGAAGCTTTATTCTCCCATTCTTGAGCATTGTTTTCTAACCTAGAAACGGCTTCTTTCATTGCAGGACTGGCAGCCATGATTGACAAAGGAGAAGTGTACATCTCTATAAGGAAGTTTGAGAAGATTATTATCATTTCAATGTCCTGCATCTTTGTGCTTGGGATCCTTGCAGCCTATGCCTTAGCCACGGTATGGCATCTTTGTTCTTCATTACATTCTTTCTAATTTCAAATGTTTCCTGCATGGCGGTATGTCTTATGATGTGAGACATCTCTGTGCAGTATTTTTCCCGTCCGATCATGGAGCTTGGAGATGCTGCGAGCAAACTAGCACGGGGTGATTACAGTGCAAGAGCGCACGGGCGACGAGGCTGCTTGAAGGACGAGATTGACGAGCTTTGCTGTGTGTTTAATGACATGGCTGATCAGATCTCCAGCGCTTACTCAACTTTGGAACAAAAGGTTTGGTCATTCCACATCTGGTATCCTTTTCCCGCTTCTTTCTTTTGCGCAGAAATGGAAATGCTTCTCATTCCACTATGTTGAGTTTCAGGTGGTGGAACGCACGCAAGACCTGGCACTGCTGAACCAGGGTCTATCCTCTGAGGTGGAAGAGAGGAAGAGTATGGAGTTACAGCTTCAGGTTGCCAAGGAGCAGGCAGTCTCAGCAGACAAGGCGAAATCTGAGTTCCTGGCAAACATGTCTCATGAGATCAGGACACCGTTGAATGGCATCATCAACTGCACTGAGCTCTGCTTGGACACTGCTCTCAGCTCGGAGCAGATCGAGTACCTTGAGCTTGTAAGTTCTCATTTCACTTTGGTTGAGACCACATTTTTGTTTGTGTTTTTCCTCTCGAACTGTTTCGCTTGGGTCGTGGCTGACTGGATGTAATGATTGCTGTTTTGTGTTCAGTCCCTCTACTCAGCCAAGCATCTTCTGCGCCTGATTGCTGACATTCTGGACTTCAGCAAAATCGAAGCGGGAAAAATGGACTTGGAGAACATTGAGTTCTCAATACAGGACCAGGTACTTGTGATGTTGTAACCATCTGCCTTTGTTAGTGGTGTTGTATTCTTTCTCAACAATAGCTTATTGAATTGATATTTCCTCCAGATGGAGCATGCTGTATCTGTCCTAGCGAATCGGGCAAGGAAGAAGGGCCTTGCACTCGTATCATGGCTGAGGTCTCCTAACATGCCAGAAAGTCTCATGGGCGACCCTGGACGCCTTCTTCAGATCTTCATCAACCTTTTGGGTAGGTTTCAGTACAGTGCACGCTTAAATAAAATGTATGTTATTTTCTAACATGCAGGGTCTGAAAATTATTGCATGTTACAGGTAATGGGATCAAGTTTACTGAGAGGGGGGAGGTTGTGTTAACCGCAACACTTGTGGCTCTGAAGGATCAGACCGCAGAGGTTCTTTTTGCTGTGAAAGACACAGGTCTGTAAAAATCAAGCGTTTCTATCATATGCCCATGTTTTTTACATGTCCTGCTGAATCATGACTTACTTTCTCGCATTTACCAGGAATCGGCATACCTCAAGCCAAGCAGTCTCTTCTGTTTCAAGCGTTCAGTCAGGTGCACGCATCAGATTCGCGGTGAGATTGAATTTCCATTGCTTACCCGTTTTTGCGTGTGTATAGATATCAAATGTCAGCCACTGATGTCTTTTGTCTGTATTTCAGGCTGTATGGAGGGACGGGGTTGGGGTTAATGATCTCGTCTCGCCTGGCCAATGCCATGGGCGGCCACATGTGGGTTGAGAGCGAAGAAGGTTGCGGGTCAACGTTTTGTTTCACAGCCAAGTTCACCGTACCACCTGAGGCCGCAAAACCATCGTCACTTGCACGGTGTGGCACTCTGTGTCCGAAGATGAACCACTTCCGCGGGCTTGTTGTGGATGGGAATGAATCGGCCAGGAAGTCCATTCTTTCGACCCTTGAGGTGGGATCCACTTCCTACTCGTTTATCTTCTGTGTTGGTGCTGCTGGCACGATGACATGATACTGATACCAGGTGTTAGTTTACCCTCTTTTTGCAGAAGCTGAAAGTCAAGGCGGACGATGCAGCTGACGCAACCTCTGCTTTGGAAATGCTACAGAAGGCAGCATACGGCGACTCGCCATACACCCTCCTCATTGTCGACTCTGAAGTCAGGGACTCTTCTCATGTTCCCTCCTCCTCATCCACCTCCTCCTGCACGTCCTCCTACGATAACTGTGCTGCATCCTCCATCAGCTGTGCGAAGCTGCTGCGACGCATCAAGGAGCAGAATTTGATCCATCAGGACAATTTCGGATGCCGATTTTCAAAAGGGGAAGGAAGTAGCGGTGCCGTGCAAGAGATGGAAGATCTCGCTGGGTATTCCGAGTCACCTATGCCCGCTTGGCTGTTCTCTGGAGAGCAGGAAAAGGCCTCAGCAGAAGCAGAAGAAGAATCTGATGCCAATGTGCTCTCTTCAGGACCAGGGGGACGTGCGTCTGCAAAGAGACCAGGCGGGAGTTCTGGTCAACAGCTACAGTCAGCTACAAAGGGCGGACTCGCAGTTAGCCAGGCACAGGATTCCTGCTCTGCAACTGAGGTGACTTTTGAGTCAACTCAAAGGTCACCCAGAGCTGACAGTGGAGGGGAGATGCGGCTGCAGAGATGTGGGCAGGCACAGGCTTCCTGCTCTGCAACTGAGGGGTGTCGACCCGAGCCTCGCGAAGAGGACTTAGCGCTACCTGTGGTGTTGTTGACACCTGGAGGTCCTGACGACAAGCCCTTGTAAGAGTTGAGTCCACACAGTTGACACCGTGAGTTCACATACATGTCTGGCATTCACTCCACCAGCCACTTTCTTAGGGCGATTATTTCTGGTTTTTTGTCATGTTGCTCAACAGGTGCAAGGAACTTGGGGTGCACCTCTATGTTCCGAAGCCTGTGAAGAGGAAAGTGCTTCTGCGAAGAGTCAAGCAGGCATTGAAGCTCCCGCTGCAGGTGCTCTCTTTTGCTCCAGTTTTTCCCGCGAACATTTTTTTGGAATTGCACCTTCGCTGCACGATGCTGAATGGCCAGGCATCGGACGTCTGCACCCACACTCTCCGTCGCATGCCGATCATTCCTCCTCTCTCCTTTTCGCAGGATGGGCTGTCTGCCTCAAATTCAAGTGCTTCTGAGGAGGCTTCGGCATCAGCAGCGGCTGAGAGGAGTCTCAAGGTCCTTGTTGCAGAGGACAACATTGTGAACCAGCGGGTAGCCATGACTCTCTTGCGCAAGTGGGGGCACGAGGCGGTTCTGGCTAGTGACGGTGAAGAAGCCGTGGAGAAGGTCCAGGCCGAAGTATTTGATGTGATACTAATGGACGTGAGTATGGCAACAACATCTTCTTCACCGTGTGTGTCATTCAGTAAACGATAACATACTGCCCCTTTTGTCGCTCAGTTCACGGTCCCCGCCTGTCCTGCACTCCACTTACCTTCCCCTTCTCCCATGTGCAATATCAGGTGCAAATGCCTGTTTGCGATGGCCTGCAAGCAACCAAGAGAATTCGTGAATACGAGTCCACAACAAAACTCCACACACCAATCATTGCTGTAATGCTCACCCTTTTTATCTCTTGTTTTTCTATTGGCTAAAAGCTGACGGTATAAAAGGCAGAATTCTCCACTGTAACTGAAAGCCATTTTTTCCTGCAGATGACAGCACAAGCCCTTATCGGAGATGGAGTGAAGTGCATCGAGGCAGGAATGGATTCGTACATGAGCAAACCTGTAAGTATTTTCGTTCTCTGCTTCTTCACATCTTGGTCTGTTGTGACCTTGTGGTCTGAGAAAGTCGCAGGGCCAATTCCTGTCTTTTTTTGTGCAGTTGAACGCATCCAGGCTGAAGGATCTCTTGCGCCTTGTGTGTCAATCACATGTTCTTCCGAAGCCAACCAACGACTGCGCCCGAGATTTCTAATTGGGAGGAACTTTGCATTAGGCATATGTACATAAATGAGTGTTGCTGTAGTATCATTCATGCAAGTGCCATCTGTGCAACAAAACGGTTTTATTAGTTGTTTTCACCTTTCTAGTTGCAGTGTACTGTTACTTTTTCTCTAGCACTTTGTTGGTGTCACCGACCATGTGATCTTCATAAAGTGATCTCGATTGGTCAGCCTTACTGATTCCTGAATCCCTGATTCCTGTTCCTGATCCTTCGAAGCCTTGACTTTCACTTCACGCCACTTCCGAATGGAATGGATATTCGTGACCATGAGCGCCTGTGGGATGGATGGAGTGAGTGGGGGTCGGGGGAGGGGGAAAGGGGAGATGAGAGTGCCGTCGTCGAGTCGAGTCCATTCAATAACCTTTCCGTGCATAGTGCAAGCAGTTCACCTACAGAAAGAAGAGATTCGCAGGGTTCGATACTGCTATGTTCTGTTCTTTGCGAAGTACAGTGCCCCAAAAGGGATGACTGGCAAAATGGAGTACAATACTGGACTCAACTGAACACCTCCTTTCAAAACCAGGTTTCGGAGCCGATTGGCTAGGCTCGATTCCGTCTTATCGAGCCTAGCGCACGTTTGGAGAGCCTCCGTCCGCCTTGCGTTGCCCAATCTGTTTGCGCCAAACTCTCCCAGGTCTCGTCGGCCCGTCAGCGTTCCTCCTGGGCAGGCTGGACTGCTGGGCGATATGTTCGGTTAAATACGGTTTAGTAAGTTTCTTCCTGGTTGAGAACGCTTGGGTTACACCATCAAGAATGAAATGCTTCCAAAAACGAACGCCAGAAGCTGAGAGCGGCTTGTTTTATTTTTTAAAACGGTTTGGTAGGGTTCTGAGCAGAAATGGGCTCCCACCACGACACACCCTCCCTGTTGATTCTAACGCTGCGGGGGAGCAGATTAGTATCCGTATCTCAGTTATCTCGCCTCGGTCGTGAGCCGTTGCCGTCCTTCTGGTTTCGCGGACACGTTAGCCTGTTGCCCGACCAAAGTTTTATTGAGTAGCGCTGGGCTCGTGGCGCATTAACTTCTGTAATGTTAGCGTCCTCGCGTAAGCGAAAGGGAGGCAATGATTTCTCCATGGTTTTATTTGACCCAGTTTGTTAGTCGCAGCGACATTGGTTGTTCGTCTCTTTTTCGCGTCTGGGGTATGTCAGCGCTCCTCGCTACTCCTTTCACTCGTACGACCAGCGTTCTCCGCATTAGTGGCGGGACGTACTTTTCAGGCGCCTCAGAGCGGGACTGGCTTATAACTTATTAACATTATCCTCGTGACGCGTGTATCTTTTCACATTGTAACGATAAATAAAAAAGGTTTTCATATTAGCGCTCAGGTTTCGAGACGTAGATAGGTAGGTAGACGTTACGGTCAGGTTTCCAGAGGTCTTAAATTTCTATAAGCTCGGGTAAACGAAGCTCGGGTGCGTGAATGGAAGCAGAGGAGACGGAATGGGTAGCCGGCGGCGGAGTAGGATTAGCAATCGGTGAAGAGGGGTTCGTAAGGGATCAGGTGCTGGCAGGAGGTTCGTCCGTCCATGTCGGCTCGGTAGGACCCGAACCTGCTGGTTCGGGGAAACCGGCCGGACCAGTAAGACGTAGGCCCAAAATGGCCGTGCCTCGGCTGGTTCACTCAAGTTCGGTAAGCGCGCCGAGCCCCAAAACGCCCGTGGTACCAACTCCCGGGAAAAGGATGTTTTCGCGGGCAGCTGGGGCAGGTGAAGAGGCAAAAGGTGAAAAGCAGCAAACCCCAGTGTTTCCTCGGAGTACAAGCGTCAGCCTGCCCGTGAGAAATGTTTTGGTGATCCCGGGTGGAAAGGAGAGGACGGGGAGCGCGGGGGAGGGGGGTAAGCGGCGGGGGGAAGGGCAACGGAGTGATGGGGAGGGGGAAGGGGGGAAGGAGGATGGGGAAGGGGAGGGATGGAAGGAGAGGCGGCAGGCGCAGGCGGAAGCTGTGACACGTGCCATGCAGCGATTGGACGCGGGGAAGGACGGCAGGGCGGCTGAAGTCGCGGCAACTCCAAGGGTAAGCCACGTAGTAGACGTGACGAAGCTCCATGGTTTGAAAGATTCAAGCGCATGCTGCAGCGAGCAGAATCTCCTCCCCTCCCCCCTCACACCCTCCCCCCTCACACCCTCCCCCTCCTCCCCACCCCTCCCCGCCCCCCCCAACTCCCTCCCCCACCCCCCTCCTCTCCCCTCATGCATGCTGCGCCGACGCATGCTGCAGCGAGCAGCAACACCTCCACCCCCGACACCCGCCCCTCTCTTACAGGAGGAGCGTTTGCTCCGCTTGTCCCGCCAACAGAAGCGCCAACGCATGCTGCAGCGGGCGGCTGCCGCCCTTCCCACCTGCAAACACTCCCCCACCTTTACCCCGCTCCCGCTCCCCGCCTGCAGGAAGAGCGTTCGCTCCGCCTATCCCGCCAGCAGAAGCGCCAACGCATTCTGCAGCGGGCGGCTGCCGCCCTTCCCACCTGCAAACAAACCCCCCCTCTCTCCCCCCCCCCGCGTATTTTTACCCCCCTCCCGCTCCCTCCTTGCAGGAAGAGCGTTCGCTCCGCCTATCCCGCCAGCAGAAGCGCCAACGAATGCTGCAGCGGACGGCTGCCGCCCTTCCCACCTGCAAACAAACCCCCCACTCTCCCCTCCCCCCCGCGCATTTTTACCCCCCTCTCGCTCCCCATTCTCCTTCCCTTAACCATTCCCGCGAACGCTCATTCTCGACCATTCCCGCCCTATATTTGAGTCGACTCAAAAGCAGACCCATTCTCCTTCCCTGAACCATTCCCGCCCTATAGGAGGAGCGTTCGCTCCGCCTATCCCGCCAGCAGAAGCGCCAACGCATGCTGCAGCGGGCGGCGGCCGCCCTTCCCCAGCTGGCGCAGCGCGTGTCGGAAACGCCTCGCTTCCGATTGGACGACTTTCTGGCGGCGCTTGACAGCCTGGCAGCGCTTCGAGGGAAGCTGAGAGCGGCTCTGGAGGCGCAGCAGAGGGAGGAGGAGGACGAGGAGGCGGAGAGGAGGGAAGAGGAGAGGAGGAGGGGGGATAGCGGGGAGGAGAGGAGGGATGGGGAAGAGATGAGGGGTGAGGGTGGAATGGTAGATGGAGAGGGTGGAGGAGTGGGGGAAGGAAGCGGGAAGGGAGGAGGTGGAGATTTTGGGGTAGAAGATGGGGAGGGTGAGAGTGGTCGCAGGGAGGAGGGGGAGGAGAAGGAGGAGGGGGAACAAGAAGTACAAGCAGTTGGTATGAATGAGGTGTCGAGAGGAGGTGAAGGCAATACACGAGTGGATTCAGGTGGTGATGGTGTGGAGGGAGAGGAGGGAGAGGATGGAGAGGAGGGAGAGGAGGGAGAGGATGGAGAGGATGGAGAGGAGGGAGAGGAGGGAGAGGAGGAAGAGGAGGAAGTGGAAGGTGAAGAGCTGGGCAAAGGAGGGATACGGAAAAGGCTACATACGGGCAGTGAAGGAGGAGTAGGGGAGGACAGCGAGGAGGAAACAGAAGAGAGAGATTCTGCGGCAGATAAGATAATGTCCCCTGCTCCTGCTGCTGTGTCCCCTGCTGCTGATATCTCTCCTGCTGCTGCTCTTCCCGTGCTACAATGGGATGTACTTATAAGCGTGGAGGCTGTTATCGAGGATGCCCTGATGCTGCTGGAAGAGGAGTTTGAAGCGACTCTCTCCAAGCACGGGTGGGTTTCTTCTTGTCCTATCTGGCTCTAAGCTGGGATGCCATCTGCGTGCGTTCTAAGTTGGCTCCCAAACCACACCACCAGGATGCCCTGATGTTGCTGGAAGAGGAGTTTGAAGCGACTCTCTCCAAGCACGGGTGTGCTGAGGTGTGTTGGGTCTTCGTCGGTGTGTTCTGAGCTGCCCCAAACCACACCACCAGGATGCGCTGATGCTGCTGGAAGAGGAGCTTGAAGCGACTCTTTCCAAGCACGGGTGGGTTCTTATTTATCCTATCTGCCTTCTAGGTGTGTATCTGAATCGACTCAAACCACACCAGGATGCGTTGACGTTTCTGGAAAAGGAGATTGAAGCGACTCTGTCCAAATACGGGTGGGTCTTTTGATCTAACTTCTATCCTCCGAATCAGAGCATTCCATGTATGCGCCTTCCCCCACCCCATTTCCCCCTTCCAACAACCCTGCCCCCTCCCCCCTCCCCCTTCCCCCTCATTCTCTCTGCAGCAAACCTCTGGACCTTCCAACGCTCAAATCCGCCCTGTACACTCAGAATTTCGCAGCTGGTGCTGCTAGTGCAGCTGCTGGTGGTGCTGGTGCAGGGGCAGCAGGGGGAGCAGGGGGAGCGCCCTCGCTTTGTGCACGTAGAGCACAGGCATCACCCCCATCACCACCCGTTTCACCTGCACTCTCAGACTTCTTCCTCCTCTCTCACACCCCCAAACATCTTCCTTTCCTATCCGTCCCCCTCTCCTCCCTCTTCCCCTTTCAGCAAACCTCTGGACCTCCCAACGCTCAAATCCGCCCTCCACGCCCAGAATTTCGCCACTGCTGCTGCTGCGGGTGCTGCTAGTGAAGCTGCTGGTGGTGCTGGTGCAGGGGCAGCAGGGGGAGCGCCCTCTCTCCGTGCCCGTAGAGCAACAGGCGTCACCCCCATCACCACCCGTTTCACCCGCACCTCTTCTGATTTCTCCCTCTCTGCTTTCCTTCCCCCCGTTTCGCCCCCCTTCCCCGTGCAGTGCAGCAAGCCTCTAGATCTCGCAACACTAAAGTCCGCCCTTCATGCCCAGAATTTCGCCACTGCAGCTGCAGCTGGTGCTGCTGGTACAGGGGCAGCAGGGGCAGCAGGGGGAGCGCCCTCTCTCCGTGCTCGTAGAGCCACGGGCATTGCCCCCATCACCACCCGTTTCACTCGCACCTCCTCCGACTTCTCCCTTGCTGCTCTCACACCCCCACCCAAACCTCTCCCTCTCCTTTCCTTCCCCACTCTTCCCCTCCCTTCTCCCTCTTTCCCTCTCTTCCCCGCGCAGCAAGCCCCTGGACCTTCCAACACTAAAGTCCGCCCTTCATGCCCAAAATTTCGCCACTGCAGCTGCTGTGGGTGCTGCCAGCGCTGGTGCAGGGGCAGCAGGGGGAGCGCCCTCGCTTCGGGCCCGTAGAGCGACAGGCGTCACCCCCATCACCACCCGTTTCACTCGCACCTCCTCTGACTTCTCCCTTGCTGCTGCCGCATCTGCTAGAGGGAACATCAGCACTACCCCCACCAACCAGAGTAATTCGACCAAGTACCCTGAACACGCCCTTGTTAGCCCGCTTGCTCACCGCGGCTTACCTTCTGCCTCTGCTGCTGCTGGCTTTGCTGCTGGTGCTGCTGGCTTTGCTGCTGGTGCTGGTGCTGGTGTTCCTCGTAGCCCTGTTGGCCTGACTACCGGCCCACGGTCCCCTGGGCTGCGCACGTCGGGACAGAACTTGCCGCCCTGTTCACCATCATCCCGTCGTCTTTTTGCCGCCCATCATCCTCACCACCATCATCATCATTCTCAGCAGCAGCTGGATTGGCAACAGCAGCAGCAGCAGCAGCAGCAGCACCAACACCAACACCATCAGCAGCACCATCAGCAATATCATCAACACCTGCAGCACCAGCAGCACCAGCAGCAGCACCAGCAGCAGCAGCACGGGCATAGGCCTGATCAGGGCAGGTTATGGAAATCGTCCTCTAGTTTCCTGTTTGATGATCCCATGATGATCGAGTTCAATGCGTCTCTTGCTGATGCTGCTGCTGCCGTTGCCGGCACTGCTCCTGCTCCTGCCGCCGCTGCTGCTGCTGATGGTGCTGCTGCTTCTGCTGCTGCGGTTGCTGATGGCAGTGCTAGTGCCGGCGGCGGCGTTGCTGCTACAGATGGAACACATGGCACTCCAATCATTAGCCCCACAGGCGTCTACTCCAACAACAGCAACAGCACCTACACTAACAGTAACCCGAGCCTCAAGACCAGGTCCGGTGGTAACCGCATTCTCATCCCCGTAAGCGTAACCGGCAGCAGCACAGGCAGCGAACCTCCCACTGAAAGCCCTACGGCCCAGCAACCGCCTCTTCTTTCCCCTCCTTGTTCTGACGCCTCTCCTCCCTCTAACCTCATCAAGACTCTCAGCAGCAGCAGCAGCAGCGCCAGCAGCACGGGTTTCTTGTCCCAGGACCAATCGGGGCACTTGAGTGCTGCTGCTGCTGCCGCCGCCGCTGCTGCCGCTGCCGCTGCTGTTGGTGGTGGTGCGTCTGGTGGTCTCTGGCCTATGCATTCCGGACCCCTTCCCTCCACAGCGGCTTCTAACTCACCCTACGCATCCCCATACACTTCCGGTTACATTCCCCATAACGCATATGCTTATAACGCGGTTGGTTCTTCTTCCTTCTCTGCCTCTCCCTCCTCCTCGTCTGCCTCCCCCTATGCGCGCCCCACTCCCCCCCGCATCACCATCCCTATCCATCCGGACGAGGACGACGCCGAGTCTGACGCCAACGACCTCCCGAACCTGACTCCAGGTTCGGCAGCCAGGTCCGGGGGCGCCAAGCCTGTGAATCATCCGGGGCAGGAGGCTCGGTCGTCTACGGGTCAGGAGGATAAGAGGAAAAGCAGACAGCCTATCAGGGCTATTAGCAACATCGTTTACGGCAGCAGCAGCAACAACAGCAGCAGCAGCACCACCACCACCACCACCATAAGCAACAGCATAAGTAACTCCAATACCCCAAGGTCTGCTGCTGAAAGCAATTCTTCCGTAGCTGTAGAACCTCAGTCTCTGCCCTCTTCTCTCCATCCTTCCCCCGCCCTATCTCCATCCCCTACCGCTGCCGCCTCTGCTGCCGCTGCTGCTGGTGCTGCTAATGCCCCCTCTGATGCTGCTGGTGTTGGTGCTGTCAACACTGCTGCCGCTGCCGCCATTACCCCACCCGCTGCTACTACTCAGCCTCGACTGGTTGCTTTCTCATCTCCCATGCTCAAAGCAGGGAGGGAAGCAGGGGGGGCAGGAGGGGGAGCAGGAGGGGCAGCAGGAGGGGCAGCAGGAGGGGGGGTGGGGGGAGTGGATTGGCGGGTTGCGTTTAGCGAGTGGGGGGAGTGGTTACCAGTGGCAGAGATTGGCTGGTTACGCAAGATGGCCACACGGATCGTTGCGATTGGTGGGCTCACTCGCTGCTGTGCTAGATATTGGTGAGTGTGTTGTGTGCGTGCGTGTGTATTTGCTTGTATGCAAGCATGTGTGAGTGGGGGGAGTGGTTACCAGTGGCGGAGATTGGCTGGTTACGCAAAATGGCCATGCGGATTGTTGCCATTGGTGGGCTTACTCGCTGCTGTGCAAGATACTGGTGAGTGAGAGAGTGAGTGAGTGAGTGTGTGAGTGAGTTAGTGAGTGAGTGAGTGTGTGGAGTGAGTTTGTGCATGCACACATGTGTGAGAGTGTGTGCACGTGCATGCATGGGTCGGTGGGTGCGTGCATGCATGCGTGCGAGCGAGTGTGTGTGTGTGTGTGTGTGTGTGTGTGTGTGTGTGTGTGTGTGTGTGTGTGTGTGTGTGTGTGTGTGTGTGTGTGTGCGTGCCGTGTGCATGTGCCTCTCCCTAAATCTTCCACTTATGAATACATCCTGCTTATATATGTTGGTCGCTTCGAAACTCTCATGAATGAGCCACTTCGATCACTGCGAGGTGACTTTTGAGTCGACTCAAAAGTCACCTCAATGAGGCACTTCGATCATTGCATTGCACACTCATCACCCACGCCACGCGCTCTCCTGATGCTGCAGGGTGTTTTTTAAAAATTCTCAAAACACCCCGCTTCGAAACTCTCATGAATGAGCCACTTCGATCATTGCATTGCACACTCATCACCCACGCCACGCCACGCGCTCTCCTCCCATGCTTCTGCCCGCCCTCCCATCCGCCTTGCGTCCTTCCTGTCTTCCGTCTTCCGCAGCGCCGCCCGTGGCCCGAGCATAGCGAGTGGCACGGCTTGTCTTGACCTGAAGGAGCGCAGCGTTGCTGAGCTGGAGGCCATGCCGTGGAGCCAGCTGGAGCCCACCATCAAGACGTGGCTGAGAGACGCCAACATACTGGTAGGTTGTGTGTGAATGATGAATGTGTACTTGTGTGTATGTGTGTGTATGTGTGTGTTTGTGTGTGTATGTGTGTGTATGTGTGTGTATGTGTGTGTGTGTGTGTACGTGTGTGTATGTGTGTGTATGTGTGTGTATGTGTGTGTGTGTGTGTACGTGTGTGTATGTGTGTGTATGTGTGTGTATGTGTGTGTATGTGTGTGTATGTGTGTGTATGCCTGGGGACCGTGACAGAGGCCATGCCGTGGAGCCAGCTGGAGCCCACCATCAAGACGTGGCTGAGAGACGCCAACATACTGGTATGTCTGTGAATGGGTGGATGGTTGGGTGAATGACGACCGTCCCTGTGCATGTGTGTGTGTGGGTTTGCCACTCACTGTGAGGAACCCACCATCAAGACATGGCTGAGAGATGCCAACATACTGGTTAGTCATGCCCATACCCACCACATGCATACCGGTAACTGGTGTGTTCGTGGTGGGTGGTGTGTGTGTGCCCCTGTATCACTGTGAGCTGGAGGCCGTGCCGTGGAGCCAGCTGGAGCCCACCAGCAAGACATGGCTGAGGGATGCCAACATACTCGTATGCAAGGGGTGAAAGGGGCGTGTGTCCGTGTGCTGCATGTGTGTGGAGCGGGTGGGTGTGGCACTCAGGGGAGTGGATGGGTAGGTCACTGAGTATAGCGGTGTTCGTATGGTGTGTGTTGCTGTGTTCCTCCTTCACTTCGGATTCGAGTGCTACTGGAGGGAAAGCGCCTCCTCTGCGAGGTGTTTTTGAGAATTCTCAGAAACGCCTTCTCTGCGAGGCAGTCCTAGAGGACGCCCCGGAGCTCAATCTTTACGCACCCCTTCCCCCCACCTTACCCCCGTCTCCCTCTCTTTACCCGTTCCCTCGTTTCCCCCTCAACATACCAGATCCGTGTGCTACTAGAGGGAGAGCGCCTCCTCTGCGAGGCAGCCCTAGAGGACGCCCCAGAGCTCAGTCTCTAACCCACGCCTATCCTCCCCCTCCTCTCTCCCTGTCTCCACCCCTCTTCTCCCCACTTCCCCCTCTCAACGTTTCAGATCCGTGTGCTACTGGAGGGAGAGCGTCTCCTCTGTGAGGCAGTCTTAGAGGACGCACTGGAGGCAGTCCTAGAGGCAGTCCTAGAGGACGCACTGGAGGCAGTCCTAGAGGACGCACTGGAGGCAGTCTGAAGCCCGCCCCTTCCCCCCCCCACCTTTTTCCCAGTGCTACTGGAGGGAGAGAGAGGTCCTAGAGGACGCCCCAGGGCTCAGTCTTTTGACCTACCCCTTTCCCCCTCCCTCCCCCCATCTCGTTTCCCCTAACCCCCCGTCTTCTCTTCCTTTTAACCCCCCTTCCTTCACCTCAGATCCGTGTGCTACTGGAGGGAGAGCGTCTCCTTTGTGAGGCAGTCTTAGAGGACGCCCCAGAGCTCGATGCGGGCGGCGTCTATCGGCAGCTTCTGTCGGCGTCGCTGTGCGTGGAGGGCTCGGTCGGCAAGCTGGCCGGCACGGCTCGTTCCATTGCCGGGCTGACGCGGTCCCCTGAGAAAGTCTTTAGCTTCATGGAGATGTTCCGAGCGGCGACAGGGCTGAGGGAGCAGGTGAGTGTGATGGTAGGGAAGGGAAGCAGGTGAGGTGTGGCGGGGGAGCAGAAAGGATAGAACTGGTGAATATTGTTAATTGATTCAAGTGAAGGCAGGGCCCTCGAGGTCCCCTGAGAAAGTCTTTAGCTTCATGGAAATGTTCCAAGCGGCAACTGGATTGAGGGAGCAGGTGAGGGAAGGAGAGGGAAGCAGGTGGCATGTAACAGTGTACGTGTGGGCGAGGGACAGGCTGCACGGCTCTCCCAGTGACCCGGTTGGTCCCCTGAAGAAGTCTTTAGCTTCATGGAGATGTTCCGGGCGGCAACTGGATTGAGGGAGCAGGTGAGTATTTATGTGGGGACTGGGGTGGAATGATCAGGACTCAGGACAGGGCTAGTGGAGGGAGCTCAACTGCGGACCGGGGTTGCTCGTTCCATTGCGGGGCTGACTGATCTGGTCCCCCGAGAAAGTCTATAGCTTCATGGGGATGTTCCGGGCGGCAACTGGATTGAGGGAGCAGGTGAGGGGTGCAGGGGAGGGAGGTAATGAAGGACTGATGAAAAGAGTCAATTCAAGTCAAGTCAAGTCAGGTCAGTTTCTTGCTGTCCTTGAAGGACTGACGCAGGTCCCCTGAGAAGGTGTTGAGCTTCTTTCATGGAGATGTTCCGAGCTGCCACAGGGCTGAGGGAGCAGGTGAGGTGAAGGGAGCATGTGGTGTGTGGGAGCAAGAGCGGTTAGGGAGCAGGTGAGGTTAGGGAGGGAAGGGAGCATTGGCGGAGGCCCTTGCTGCTGCCCTCATGACCTCTGCGGTGTTTGCTCGTGGCCTCGGGGGATTTCACAATCGACCTCAATATCTCCTCCCATCCACTCTCTTCCCCCTTCTCCAGGTGCAATCCGTGCTCATAGCAGCGGCAGACTTAGACGATTTTTGAGGCGCCTCAAAAACTCCTCCCATCCACTGTCTTCCCCCCTTTCCAGGTGCAATCCGTGCTGATAGCAGCGGCAGGGGCGGGAGGAGGTTCTCTGTGGCCGCATTGGCAGGCCCTCCCTGCCCTCCTCGCCTGTGCCGTATTTGTTCGAGTATACCCACAAACTTGATACTTCTTCTCTCCCCTCTCATTCCTCCCGTTTCCAGGTGCAATCCGTGCTGATAGCAGCAGCGGGGGTGGGAGGGGGTTCCCTATGGCCGCAGTGGCAAGCCCTCCCAGCCCTCCCAGCCCTCCTAGCATGTGCCGTGTTCGGTTGAGAATACATCAACTTGACTCCTCTTCTCTACCCCACCTTCCCCTCCCTTTCAGGTGCAATCCGTGGTGATAGCAGCAGCGGGGGTGGGAGGAGGCTCTCTGTGGCCGCAGTGGCAAGCCCTCCCTGCCCTCCCTGCCCTCCTGATACACACGTTGCTTGTTTGAGAATACACACGACCTCAATCCCTCGTTTCCCCCCCACATTCCTCCCGTTTCCAGGTGCAATCCGTGCTGATAGCAGCAGCAGGGGTGGGAGGGGGTTCTTTATGGCCACAGTGGCAAGCCCTCCCAGCGCTTCTAGCATGTGCCGTGTTCGAGACAATAGACGAGCTCAACAGCACACTGAGACACGTGGATGGACTGACTCCGGCGGCTATGCCCTCGCCTGTCGCTCCTAAGAAGAAGCTTCTAAGCAGGTGCGTGTATACCTTCTGATTAGTTTGTTTGTGTGGATCTCCTCGCATGCGCCATGTTTGGGACGATGGACGAGCTCAGCAGGCGGGGTGGGCAGCAGGCCCTCCGGCCCTCCTCGCCTGTGCGGTGTTTGGGACGATAGACGAGCTCAGAAGCACGCTGAGGGATGTGCATGGGCTCACCCCAGCTGCCATGCCCTCTCCCCGGCCGCCTTGCCCTTTCCCATCACTCCCAAGAAGAAGCTTCTCAGCAAGTTTGTCCAAAGCCGTCTAAGCAGGTTTGTGTGGCCCTCCTCGCCTGTGCGGTGTTTGGGACGATAGACGAGCTCAGCAGCACGCTGAGGGATGTGCATGGGCTCACCCCAGCTGCCATGCCCTCTCCCCGGCCGCCTCACCCCAGCTGCCATGCCCTCTCCCCGGCCGCCTCACCCCAGCTGCCATGCCCTCTCCCCGGCCGCCTCACCCCAGCTGCCATGCCCTCTCCCCGGCCGCCTCACCCCAGCTGCCATGCCCTCTCCCCGGCCGCCTCACCCCAGCTGCCATGCCCTCTCCCCGGCCGCCTCACCCCAGCTGCCATGCCCTCTCCCCGGCCGCCTCACCCCAGCTGCCATGCCCTCTCCCCGGCCGCCTCACCCCAGCTGCCACGCCCTCTCCCCGGCCGCCTCACCCCAGCTGCCACGCCCTCTCCCCGGCCGCCTCACCCCAGCTGCCACGCCCTCTCCCCGGCCGCCTCACCCCAGCTGCCACGCCCTCTCCCCGGCATGTGCATGGGCTCACCCCAGCTGCCACGGATCATACACAAGCCCATGCACACCCCTCAGTGTGCTGCTTAGCACGGAGAAGAGGACTCTATCTGTGCTCACCTAGACACCTCACTCTGCCTCCTCCTCGCCACCTCTGTTTCACATCCATCCTCACTCACCCTCCACTCAACACTCCCCTTTGCTCGCAGGATAATTTCCTGGAAGGCGCAGGAGGTGAAGAGCCAGAGCGGGGAGGACGTGGACGTGTCGGTACACGCGGTTACCAGCTACGTGGTCAACTACATAGGGCAGCTGTTGGACAGGTAGGTATATACCCCGTACGGTACTGGCAATTGCAGGTAGATCATGAGGCGTGGACGTGTCGGTGCATGCGGTTACCAGCTACGTGGTCAACTACACAGGGCAACTATTGGACAGGTATGGGCTGATATAGCGGCTGGTTACCATTACCAGCAGTTACCAGCTGGATCATGTGATGGTAGCTGCCGCACATGGGTGTGGACGTGTCAGTCCTCACAATTACCAGCTACGTCGTCAACTACATGGAGCAGCTATTGGATAGGTATGTCTTATGTACTAAAGTAATCACCTGTTGGAGCATGTCGCAAACGCGTCGGTCTTCGAGCTACCAGCTACGTTGTCAATCGTATGGGCCAGATCACTATACTCTTGGAATAGGTATGTGCTGATAGCGGTTACCAGCTGTGCTTTCATCGTAGCGCACAACTGCTCGACAGGTACGTATCGGCTGATAACAGAGCAGTCAGGGTAGTTTTGAGAATTCTAAAAAATACCCGGCAGGTACGTATCGGCTGATAGCAGAGCAGTACCAGCTGTTATTGGCCAGAGCATGGGCGCACACATGTCGTCGGTGCATGCGGTTACCAGCTACGTGGTCAACTACATAGGGCAACTGCTAGACAACTAGGCAGGGCAAATGGTGAGTGGGTGTGGATTGGTGGTTGTCTGCGGGAAGTTTGACTTGAATGTGCCGGTGCATGCGGTTACCAGCGGTTACCAGTGGTTACCAGTGGTTACCAGTGGTTACCAGCCATGTTGTCAATACATAAGCAACTGCTGACATGTACGCCTATCAGAAGTAACGATTGGATATGTGTCAGTCAGCAGAGGATACTCACCTCACCCCTCCCCCTCGATATCGCCTCCCTTCCCCATCCTTCCCATTACCGTCCCCCAGAACCTCTCGAGCCAACGACTGCGCTGTGCTGGAGGAGATTTACCGGAGCCGCTGAGAGAACGCACTTTCATCCCTCTCCCACCCCGCCCGCGCTCACCCCCTTCCCCCCAGAACCTCTCGAGCCAACGACTGCGCTGTGCTGGAGGAGATCTACCGGAGCCACGGGGCTGACCATTTGAAAGAGTCCAGCAGCAGGCAGCAACTGCTCGCCCCCTTTTCCCTTGTGTCCCTCTCACCACCCTCAGAACTTCCCGTGCCAACTACTGTGCTGTGCTGGAGGAGATTTACCAGAGCCACGGAGCCGACCATTTGAAAGAGCCCAGCAGCAGCAGCAACTGCTGTCCCCCTTTTCCCTTCTGTCCCTCTCACCTCCCTTGCAGGACCTCTCGAGCCAACTACTGCGCTGTGTTGGAAGAGATTTACCAGTGCCACGGGGCCGACCATTTGAAAGAGCCCAGCACCAGGCATCAACTGCTCGCCCCCTTTCCGTATCTGTCCCTCTAACCACCCTCAGAACTTCCCGTGCCAACTACTGTGCTGTGCTGGAGGAGATTTACCAGAGCCACGGAGGGAACACATTTCAATCTCCCCTCATTCCCCCGCTCTTCTTCCACCCATTCCTCTCCATACTTCTTATTCCGTCCCCCAGAACCTCTCGCGCCAACTACTGTGCTGTGTTGGAAGAGATTTACCAGAGCCATGGGGCCGACCATTTGAAAGAGCCCAGCAGTAATAGCAGCAGCAGCAGCCAGCACCCCGGCCATGCGCCACAGACGCCCGTGCAGGGAGCTGCAGGGACGCCCAAGGAAGCGGCACCTCTCCAATACGCTGCTCCTGCTGCTGCTGCTGCTGCTGCTGCTGCTGTTGCCACTCCAGATGTCCCGTCCAACTTTCCTACTGCCCTAGAGTCTGCTCCTGCTGCCGCTGCCCCTGCTGCTGCCACTGCTGCTGCTGCTGCCGCTGCTGCTGGAACCCCCAAGGAAAAGGCTCGGGATAGCCAGAATGCTCTTGGCGGCGGTGGCGGCAGCAGCGGTGGTGGTAGTACTAGTGGTGGGAGGAAGGGCAGGGGGGTGGGTGGGCGGCAGAGGAAGAGGCAGCTGGGGGCGGACATGGAGGCACTGTTGGATGCGCTCTATTTCAACATGGAGGCACGCGGGAGGACTATCGCAGATGGCCCTTTGTCTGCACTGTTTGTTCTCAACAACGCCAACTACATCGCTTCTTCCATGTGAGTTGCAGCTCTTGTGATTGGGTGTGCTGAGCGGTACAGTGCGGTACAGAGGCGGAGGAAAAGGCCCATAATGAGTGATACCGTACGGCAGGGAGGCAGAGGAAGCGGCAACTGGGGAACATTGAGGCACTGCTGAATGCGCTCTGTTTTAATATGAGAACGTCTGAATGCCTGTCAATCCATCCTGCCCTTTCCCCACCCCCTGCCCTCCTCTTTCTCTCCTCCTCTCCTCGTTTCTGCCTCCTAATCCCTGAGAATCTCGAATTGCGAGTCGCTTCTAAGCCAACCTCCCTCCTCCCTCTCCCCACCTGTCCCCGTTTTTCTGCCAGCTCCTCTTGTCGAATGTGAGACAGATTCACCAGTTGGACCGCAGTGGAATAACAGCAGGCGTGTTATCGATCTTAAACCGCGAGTGTTTTCTAAGCTATTCTCCCTCCCTCCTCTCCAAACCTTTGTCTTGCCAGCTCCTCGAGTCGAATGCGCGACGCCACCCGCCACTCCGACCGAAGGAGTGCAGCACGCGTCTAAGAGCGTCTCTAAACGCCTGTCCACCACCTCTTTCTCCACTCCGCTCCCCTTGTCCCTCCCAGCTCCTCCGGTCGAATGCGGGACGCCATTCGCCACTCAGACCGCCTGGCAGACTACGAGTCCGCCTTTGAGAGAGCAGCACTGTGCAAGGTATGTAGGGGAGTGTGCTGCTTTGAGAAGGCAGGTCTGCGATTGTTCTCCCCCCCTCCGCCACTCAAACCGCCTGGCAGACTACGAGTCCGCCTTTGAGAGAGCAGCGCTGTGCAAGGTATGTAGGGGAGTGTGCTGCTTTGAGAAGGCAGGTCTGCGATTGTTCTCCCCCCCTCCGCCACTCAGACCGCCTGGTAGACTACGAGTCCGCCTTTGAGAGAGCAGCGCTGTGCAAGGTATGTAGGGGAGTGTGCTGCTTTGAGAAGGCAGGTCTGCGATTGTTCTCCCCCCCTCCGCCACTCAGACCGCCTGGCAGAATACGAGTCCGCCTTTGAGAGAGCCGCCCTGTGTAAGGTATGTAGGGAGGGGGGGAGTGTGGTCTTGGGGGGGACAGGCCTGCGCTCCCATGTGATCGTGCACCCTCTCCCATCCCATCCGCCACTCCGACCGCCTGGCAGACTACTATGCAATGTATGATGCGGAAGTCATCATGCCTTTGCTTTTTATGTGCCCTCACCTCATGATCTCGCCCCTGCCTTGCTATCATGTGCCCTCTTTCCATCCCATCTGCCTCTCCTACTCCCTGGCAGACTACGAGTCGGCCTTTGAGAGAACAGCACTTCGCAAGGCATGACCAGCAACTCACCGCTCTGTTGTTCTCGTGCACCCTAGCCCACCACACCCCACCGCACTCTATCCCATCGCATCCCAACCCCATCCCATCAGCTGCTGGCATGCTTGGAGCCATTGGAAGTTAGTGCCAAGATGAATGAACTTCCTACTTCCAACCCATTGAAACCCATCCCACCCCACCCGACCCCATCTCACTCCACCCCACCCCATCCCACCCCTTCAGCTGCTGGCGTGCTTGGAGCCACTGTGAGTGAGCGCCAAGATGAGTTGACATCCCCCCACCCCACCCCAACCCCACTTCACCCCACTCCACCCCACTCTACCCAACCCCATCCCATCAGCTGCTGGCGTGCTTGGAGCCATTGGAAGTGAGTGCCAAGATGAGTGGGGACGGCGTGAAGCAGCGGTGAGTGCACTAATGGTAGTGCCGAGGGCATGATAGTGGGTGCACTGAGGGCAGAACGGTCAGATGCACTCACCCCACACCACGTCTCCCCATCAGCTGCTGCCATGCTTGGAGCCATTGGAAGTGAGCGCCAAGATGAGTGCCGACGGCGTCAAGCAGCGGTGAGTGCAGTGAGGGTGGTGCTGAGGGCATGACAGTTGGTGCACTGATCTGAGGGCACAACGGCGGGTGCACTCACTTGATGCCTGAGTTGATGCCTGAGTTGCTTTGAAGTCAAGATGGGTGTTTGATGGCACAACACAATGGGTGTTGCAGTCAAATTTGGCTGTATGCATGCAAGAATGTCATTGTCTCCCCATCCACCTCGCTCATCCATCCTCTCGCCCATCTTTCCGAATCCCCATCCACCTTCCGGCTCCCCAAACCCCGGGGTTTGAAGCGGTTCAATGCGGTGTTTGATGAGGAGGTGGCACTGGAGCAGCGGCTGCGGCTCGAACTGTTATGCTTGCATGCCCCTATCGATGCCTCGCTTCATAACCACATATACGCATGCTCCACCATCCCGTGCAGTTTGAAGCGGTTCAATGCGGTGTTTGAGGAGGTGGCACTGGAGCAGCGGCGGTGGCTCGTGCTCAGCGACAGCTGTCGCAAGGCCATGCGCGTGCGGTTCGCCAAGGTCATCAAGGGATCCTATATGGACTTCCTCACTCCCCACAGGTGAGTGTGTGACGGCTGTTCTGTTACCTTCCAAGTCAGGAAATGATTATTGTGCTTCTCTAAAAATCATATAATGATAAATGTTGCTTTTGTATCTCTGTGGATGTGTGTGGACTAAACTGTTGTTTTTCAGGGAAATAATCTCGGATATCCCAACGTACCATTGGTCCCCCGATGGAGTGGAGAGAATCATTTTGAAGAGTTTCTTCCTCGGTCGGAGCCTCCCTTGCGTGATGTCGGCTTGACTCAACGCTTAACACTTTTCAAGACACTACCATCTCTGTTTGACAACCTGAACAAGACCTTTAGGGTTAACAGCTTCCTCTGAATTGGGTTTGTGTTACATTTGTGTAGCAAATGTGTATTGAATTTGCCTTAGGAATCTTGTAAGTTCTGCTAATATCAACTGTAACTAACTGAAAGGAAAATCCCTTTTCCTTACTTCGCATCCCTGCTCAACGCGTACATCACTGTAGCACCTCAGTCAGCACCGTTACCACTCGCGATCATCGCATCGACAATCATCCCGCCATTTTTCGCACATCGCATCCCGACCTCACGGCTCGGCTGGTAACCCGCGCTCCGGGCCTACGCCTCGACACTTTCCCAACCTCAGTCCCAGGCTCGTCGCGCGACTACCACAGACCATTACCGTTACCACTGTAGTTTCGCTATACATTCTTCGCTCACGCCCTCGCTCATTGTATTCTTGCTTCGATAGTGCAATTCTCGTTCGTTCACTCAATTGCACTCGTAACACTAACCAAGTCATCTTTATTCGCACGTTTTTGATGTCGATGATCGGACCCTTATTAGCGAATCTTCGTCCTTCCCCTCCTCGGTCGTGCCGTTTTCCTCCAAAAACGGCTCTTCAGCACGCTCCCCGTCAGAAACAGCAACCTCTCAATTCACGCCGTCTTTCACGGTCCGAAGCTCCGTAGTTCCTGCGCCGCACTTCCGCGCCGCGGCACCCCGGTTCCCCGTTTCCCCCGATTTCCAGTTTCCGAGATCCCCCGGTTCCCCCGGTCCGCTTCTTCCGCGCGCCATGTCTTCCGCCAAGGCCGCTGGATCTCTGCTCCGCTTCATCCCGCCGTCGTACCTTCCGCAGCGGATGGATGTACGGAGCGCCGTTACATGGGGAACGACAGGAGTCGTCGGCGCGCTGTGGCTGATTCAGGTGCGACGGTCAGGTCCTGTCCGCGATATAGGACCACTGCATTGTGCCGTTAAAGCCCGTTACAATATACCAATCTAGAAAGGGGCGACTGTAGTCATCGGCGCGCTGTGGCTAGTTCAAAATATGCAGCGACCGCGATCGCGAACGGATCCCGGCTCTTGAGAGCGTGCAACAAATTTAGTGGCATCGTGGTTGCTGTTCCGCAACTATCCCTTTCACCCTTGTGCGGCTCAGCTATAACCGCCGCTTGCTGTTTTCTTCTGGGTTTTCCACCCTCGATACTCGATTTAGGGACGTAGTGGATGTAGCGTGGCAGCGAGCGCTTTTGCTCTAGCGTGGCTCAGCGATCTCAGCCTTTCTTTCGTCTGAGTTTTCCTCCCTTGAAACAATGAGGACCCTCAGCTCTCGATTTAGGGAGGGACGTAGTGGATGTAGCTTGGCAGCCAGCGCTTTCCCTCTAGCGTGACTCAGCGATCACCACCCTTTGCTGCTTTTCTCTGTTTTCTTTCAACCTTGGAGGCGTCTCTTCCTGACAACTTTCCTCGTCTCTTATTTCTCTTTACCCCCTCCCCTGCCCCGTTGCTGGGTGCAGCCCTTCGGTTGGATCAAGGACCAGGTCTTCCCTCCCAAGGAGTCCTCCTAGTCTGCCGAATCCTGACAGGTTGCTTGCCGTTGATAGTATGACCTTCCGTTTTGAGTTGGTTTTGATTCGATGGAAATGTTTCAGCAGAAGGTGCATGCATGGTTGTCTACCAATGTCCTAGCTTCCAGTTTCACATCCATTCAGAGTAACTAAGGTTTTTTTTCCTACCGGTACGTTGGGTCTGATGAGACATCCATAGAGGCGGAATGCATGGAAGTGCCGTGCCGTGTGAGAGGCAACCTTGTTAGATTATGTGCTTCCCGACTTCCAAAAACCTTGTCTAAGTTTTCTGGAACATGTGTTAGTTCGAGAAGTGTTACACAGTCTTCATGTACTGTTATCGAGATCGAGGATGAGCCGGAACTCTTCAGAAATGGTGGGTTGGTGGAGTGTAACGTCAAGAGGCCTGACGGTACATTTCGGCCATTGTTGCAGGCACATTCAGAAAAAATGTACCGTGCTGACACATTTTACTTTCTTTTTTCTGCCCCGATCACTCAACCTCCCGCCAAATCGCACTGGTCTCCATTCAACACATGTCCATTATGTGCCGCAGATATTTCACGATGTCAAGATCCAGCCGTCGATATATGCCGCTCGAATCTACTTCCTTCCACGTCCGAACCGAAGCGCTAAGACGAATCGCGGATGCAACCTGCAAAGCCACTCTTTTGTCGTACTGTACACCAGTTCCAAGTTTCCCTCTCCCCGCCCCAAACCCCCTCGCCACGTCTCCCTCCCAATCACATCACAGCATTCCAGCCCTGCCCTCACCCTCTTACTCTCCTACCAACCTCTTCTTCCCCGACCCACATTATCTAACCTGCACCACACTAAACCACGCTTATACATACTTTTACCACACCGTCTTACTTTTTGACCTAGCTTCACCTTTTGCTGTCGTAACCAACGCCTCGTTGGTCTCTCACGGGCAACAGGCTGTGCTTTCTGATCAGCATGTTTTCTGGACCGTGTCTCACAGAAATGCCGGTGCGGACAGAAATATGACTGACTGCGCGCGCGACCATAACTGACCCGTTCCACTCCACCACTAGCGGCCAGCCACCTTATTCAACGATTTTCGATACGTTCAAAAGTCGACAGCACGTGCAAGAAGCTAATAACATTTCCGTCAAGATAACCACGTCTTTCAACGGCCTAAAACTCAAACAGCCACCTCGTCCCGTGAACCCACGCAGCAACAATTCCGGCGCTTCATAGAACTTAACCACGCATAACTAGAAACCGCGACAAAACTCGTTTCGCTTCGACAAACACACCAGCCACGTAGTTAACCATTGACGTAAGGAGCGACTAGTATGAAGAGGCGAGGAGCGACCCGCCACGCCGGGATAACAGTCTTGGCTCTCCTCCTGTTAGGGCTCGCCACGTGTCGTTCACAGCCGGAGGACGACGAAGCACTGACAGGTCAGCCTGCGGCTCTTCCCGATGACATAGAAGTTGCAGACGCTTCCAGCGGCGCAGTCGGCGGCGGAAGCGGCGGAGGCGGCGGGATAGGCGGAGACGGCGCAGACACGTATTCGGACGATTGGGAGGATCCGCTTCCCGGCGACCACCCTAACGGGGATGACACGATAGTAGACACGTCAGATGACGTCGAAGCGGACGTTCCGCCGGGAAATGCGGCGAGCCGTGGCGTTATTCCGGGTAACCGCAAACCAGGCGATTTGGTGCCGGGGGAAGAGGAAGGGGAGGCGGAGGGGGGAGCGGGGAGGGGAGTGAAGGGGGGAGCGGAGATGGGAGTGAGGGCGCAAGCGGAGGGGGAAGCGGAAGGGGGGGGAGCGGAGGAGTGGGAGGTGCAAGAAGAAGCGGCGGAGGAGGAGCCGGAAAACCCGTGGATTGAAAACGGGAGGGGGGAAGGCTCTTCCGCCGCTGTGGCGCAAGCGCAGGACTACCAGCCGGGCGGGGAGGATGGATTTGCGAAAGGGCTGAGCGGAAAGGCGGAGGCGCAAGCGCAGGACGATCAGACGGGCGGGGGAAATGGTTTTGCGGAAGGGCAGAACGGAAAGGAGGAGGCGAAAGAGGAGCCGAGCAGCGATTGGCCGGCGGGGGAAGCGGGGGAAAGCGCGGAACAGGAGGTCGGGGACGAGAGTGAGAGTGGCACTGCGACTATCCAGGAAGCTGATAACGGGTATGGCGACACGGGCGGGACGTATGAGCGGAATGTGCCGGCGCAGGGGGGTGGGGGCGCGGAACAGCCCGCGCAAGGGGAGGCCTGGACCTTCGAGGAGGATCAACCAGGGCAAGGCGGGCGGGAGCAAGGGGGGGCGATGGGGGGACAGGTGGGGGGGGGAGAGCCCGGGGAAGGGGAAGGGGAAGGAGGAGCGGGAGATGAGAGGGGGGACAATAGCGATTACTTTTTTCACGGGCAGGACCCAGATGAGGAGGAATGGCAGAAGCGGAAGCACAACTGGCAAAATGCGGGTCCAAATAGTGACTCTAACGACCCTAACGCTGCTGATGACGCTAACGGGCCTAGTGACTATAACGAAGCAGAGCAGACACAAACTTCTGGGAACCCCGCGGATGCTAACCCTAATGATGGGAATCCCGATGACGAGCTGTTTTCTGACAACAATCCGTCTAGTTCTGACGAAGCATTTCCTGACAGCAGCAATCCCGCCGCTCAGGACGCTGCTGCAGTTAAGACGGCAGACTCAGCTACCACTGGATCAGGCTCGGAAGGATCCGAACCTGCAGCTCTGGCGAGTAACAGTTACTCTGAAGGTTACCAGAAGATGGCTGGCGGGCAGATCAGCGCGGAGGGCATCTTAGGGATCGTGCTGGGTGAGTGATAACTCAGTTTTCTGTCCGCTGCTGGTCTTTGTGTGTTGGTCAGTTTGTGCTTCCGCGTACGTCTCAAAACTCGATTGGCGCGGAGGGCATCATAAGGATCATGCTGGTTGACTGATAGGTCGATGCAATGTCTCTTATTGGTCTGTATGTGCTGGTCTATGTATTCGTCATTGCCCTTCTGACCTCTACCCACATCAACCCCATCCCTTTCCAGGAGTGACTCTGGGTGCTGGCCTATGTCTTCTGGTAGTCTGTGTGTGCTGGGTGCGGCAACGGAACATCAACCGGGCCAAAGAGTATGTGTCTGCCTGTACCTTGATATTCTCTCACTCCTATGTTAACGTTTCTGGCACTCTCACCACACGTGCTGTTATCACATTCTTTTGCACCGATGCTGAACTGTCATTTTCTCCTCCCATTCCTTCCACACCGTCTTTCTCACACTGTCGTTTATGCCAGCCATCGTCTCTCCTTTGTTTTTAAGCCATCTCAACCCATACTCATCTCCTCTAGCTCCCCCCTGTCTTCCCCGTTTCTCGCAGGTCTGAAGCCATGACAGAATACGTTGATGACAGCAGCGAGGAAGAGGATGAGGAGGGGTTGGAGGAAGCAGCAGACACAGCGCTCATGGGAGGGATAGTGGGAGCACACAGAGCCCTGGATATTGAGGCACAACAGGCATTGAAGTCCTCCAAGCATTGATGTTGGTCGGCGTTGAGGGCTTTAGTGACTGATTCGCTGAAGGAAGCAGCAGAAACAGCGCTGATGGGCGGGATAGTGGGAGCACATAAAGCCGTGGATATTGAAGCACAGCAGGCATTAAAGTCCTCCAAGTGTTGATGTTGGGTTGGGTTGGGTTGGCTTGGCTTGGCTTGGCTAATCGTTTCAGTGACTAATTGATGGAGCAGGTCTTCCATATGCATCTCTAGCATGTGCAATGGTGTAATTTAGGTTAAATGCTAGCTGACGTAGTTTAGTATTAGTAGGTAGAAGTATCCAACTAGTTGGTGATTCGATGTACACCCTCTTTCTCGACATTGTGAGTTCGGTTATAGTGAAGTCAAGATGGGAAAAGCACGGTTAACGGTGGTTAGATTAAGTCTAGGTATGGTTCAATCAGACAAATCGAAGGTAACTAGGTTTTCCATCAGTTCAGCATCAGTGTAATGAGAAAGAGGGTGTATGGTGTCAACTCTTGCTATTTACGGTAATGTTATGGGTTGGGCACCATCCCATTTTGCAATGCACGCTAGAGAAGACAACTGGGAATCCAAATGAGGGTGAAAGAGCAATAGTCATCATATAAGGGCGTGTTCCTACGGCCCCTTATCAGGCGAACCTCTTGTCAGATTCGCGTCGCAACGCACTGGAACACATGTAATAACATTCGATCGCACTAAAACGCATGGAACCGCACAAGTATGACAAGAGGTCGGCTGATAAGGGGCCGTAGGAACACGCCATAATAAACCCACCATAACAGGAAATTAGCAGCGCCAAAGTTCAAATCCTGCTGTTTAACGAATAGCTATAAACAATTGAAACCAGTTTCACGGCCATCTCCATTTTAAATGACGGAAAGCGGGTACTTGTACTGCTTCGCGCTCACTCCAGCCAGCAACCTCTTGTCAACGATCCACGAGTGCACGTGCTCCAAAAACGTCTTCCCTTCAGGCCTGAATTTCCTCGGAACGTACGTCGCTGCAGCATTCGCGTCGTAGCTCTCAATAGGCCGGGCCATGGCGAGTCCCGGGGTGTGCGCGAGCCCTGCGAAATACGCTTCCGCCATGAACGCTACTGGCGCTTCGGCTCCGTCGTTCTCCTGCTTCAGATTTGCAAATCTGTCGCCAAGACCGGCGGCGTATTTCTCGCTCATAACAAGATCCGAGAGCATCAACGGACAGCGCATGTAGTGTCCCCGGTCAGTCCCCTCGAGAACATCTAGAGCAGCAACTGCTTTCGCGTTCACTTCGTACACTTCACCCTGAACCCTGTGACCGCTGCCAGGCAGATGGAGCAGGAACGGCACCTGAAACGGACCGCAAACGAGCGGAAAGTTCTGTAGCGTTTGAGCGGTCCCGATTTTAACGGCGTCGCCATCGGCCATAAGTTTCTGCATAAGCCAGTGATTCCCGAATCCCTTCTTCAGGGTGCCGTACACGAACGCCAGCGAATAACCTTCGCGAGGAAACGGCAAATCGCCGCTGACTTCGTTGGCTTCCCCGAAGTCAAGGGGAATCGCCGGCGACGTCGCCGGAAGGTACGAGCTCCTGCTTGCGACTTCCAGGTCGGTCTGCGACTGGCTGTGCGACAGCGCGGTCAGGCAGGGAGAGGACGCGGAGGTACGCAGCTGCGCGGATGACGTCATGCGGACAGGAGAAGAAGATACACAGAGCTTCTCCTGAGAGGAGACGACATGGCCTGATGAGAGGCGGCTGGATGATGCTGCAGCCGAGCAGGCAAGAATAGAGGCCATCCCAATCCGAAAACGAATCTGGAAGCAGGGTCACGAGAGAGAGAATAGGAATTTTAACAACGATGAGGAGGATGAGGAGGATGGTGACATGCCGAACACATCAAGAAGGTGAAAACGGGTCGAAGGAAGAGACACTACCGATGCTGCCGATAATAGCTAACAAAGCAGCTTCGTGGCTACATTCTTGCTAGTAACATGATGGGACGGACAGGGCGGGAGCGCTCTAGCTATTGTACGAAGAAGCAACGACAGGAACAAATCTGAAATCCGACCTGCTCAGACGAGAGACTGCGTCAGCGCTCGAGGAGGAACGAGAGCACAAACCCCGGCAGAGCTGGGACGGGCGCTCACACCTCACGAGAAGCAGCAGAGCAGAACACGCAGAGAAGACTAAGATAAGGTAATGAGTGGATTGGATGACAGAGAATTCGTCACAGAAGTGGAGTATTTGTAGGAGCAAGAAACTGGAGAGAGCGGGGATGAGAGCGGGCGGGAGACATGGGTAAGAAGGGGGGATTTACCTTGGCGGAAGAAGGGGGGAGGGGGATTCCTTTCACAGACGAAGTGGAAATTGAGGGAACGCGTAGACGAATCTAGATGAGAAGGGGGAGAGGGGAGGGGCGGAAATGTGGAACGAGCGAATTCGTCCTGCTTCGCTGGCACTGGTAACCCTTCCAGAAGGTTTCGAACGTCATTCCGCGGAGAAACGGTGAAGGCAGGGAAGTTCGGCGGCAATCCCTGAGCGCCCCTTACCCTCAACCACCTCGAAGCGGTGGGTGGGTTGTCCTGAGCGTAGCCACAGGCTTTTCTGGAGCGCGTGTGATGTCATGCATGTCATGTCACGCCTGCACGCTTGTGAGGACGAGAGTGGCGGGATTTCTGGAACAGCGAGTGCACGAATCAGCTTCCACGGCTTTTGCGGCTCTTGGAGATAAATGGAGTCAGCATATCCTTCGTAATCAAACAAGAGCCGCGTGATTCCAGTGAGACGTGGCGCCAAGTCAGCGGGAAAGGTATCCAGCGTCACACCGGATGGGGACCGTGGAATGAACGACCTTAGGGGCCCACGTGCTTGCCATATATCGTCACCTGCCAACAAAATGTCCTCGTCATCAGTTTGCTCAACAATGTTCGACGCAGTATTGACAGTGATGATATTACTGTGCAGACCGGGGCTTTATATCTCAAATAGCCAGCCATGAAGTTAATTTTCGGTATAATCAGACTCTTCAAGTGTCTTGCCACCATTTACGTGGTACAATCTTGGCTTCATCATCAAAGTTCAATTTCAACTATTCGCTACAAGAAAAACATACGGTGTTTCATCACCCTACTTCTTCTCTTCATACTCCGCCTCCTGTGCTCCTCCAGTTGACCCCGCTCCAGAAGAGGTCGAGCTGCTGCCGCCGCCCGCTTGCCTAGAGATAGCCTCTCCGATCTTGAGAGAGGCCTGCTGGGCGGCGGAGATCTTCTCCCGGATCTCCTCCAAATTCTCCTTCTCCAACGACCCCTTGAGATCAGCAATGGCCGCTTGCACTGCCTCCACCACGTCCTGAGAATCGGGAACAGACAAGAACAGACAGCACATGAACAAAAGACAATGGGAATAAGACTCCTTTGAAGCATGGCGCGCTGGGGCATGGCACGCTAGGGCATGGCACGCAAGGGCATGGCACGCTAGGGCATGGCACGCCGGGGCATGGCACACCGGGGCATGGCCTGCCGGGGCATGGCCTGCCGGGGCATGGCCTGCTGGGGCATGGCCTGCTGGGGCATGGCCTGCTGGGGCATGGCCTGCTGGGGCATGGCCTGCTGGGGCATGGCACGTCCTCCTTGTGCTCGATCAAGTATCGCTCGACAGAGTACATGGTCGTGTCCTCATCGTTCCAGGCCCATATCAACAGCACCATTTTACATGCCCACCACATCTCACCACCACATCCTTGTGCTCGATCAAGGATCACTCGACAGAGTACGTGGTCGTGTCCTCATCGTTCCAGGCCCATATCAACAGCACCATTTTACATGCCCACCACATCTCACCACCACATCCTTGTGCTCGATCAAGTATCGCTCGACAGAGTACATGGTCGTGTCCTCATCGTTCCTGGCCCCGATCAGCACAGCACCATTTTACATGCCCACCACATCTCACCACCACACCCTTGTGCTCGTTCAAGGATCACTCGACAGAGTACATGGTCGTGTCCTCATCGTTCCCAGCCCCGATCAGCACCCTGTTACATGCCCACCACATCTCACAACCCAGGGAAACCTGAGACTCTGCACTTACGCTTGGCAGCTTCTCCTTGTGCTCGTTCGACGACCGCTCCACAGAGTACATGGTGGTGTCCGCGTCGTTCCTCGCCTAGATCAGTGCCTTCCTCTATGGCCTCACGTATCCCCCCACATCACATGGAACACTGGGACAAGGAATAATGGGACTCACGCTAGGCAGCTTCTCCTTGTGCTCGTTGAGTGATCGCTCGACAGAGTACATGGTGGTGTCCGCGTCGTTCCTCGCCTCGATCAGCGCCTTCCTCTCCTTGTCCTTGCCTGCGTACTGCTCCGCCTCCCTCACCATGCGATCAATGTCCGAGTCCGACAGACCGCCTGATGACTGCATCGTCAAAAGGGAGGTTTCAAAATGAGGGATATTGATAAGCAAAGGTGAGACGCGTCTCCTCTCCATGCCCTTGTCCACATCCGCTATACTGGAGTCACTGTCAAGAAACCTCAAACGCGGCTCCACCTCCTTCACCATGCAATCAATGCCCTAACAACCCCCCTGGGGTTTGCACATGATGGTATGGTGTAGGAAGGAGTTGGTTAAAATGGACTGAAAGAAACCCTATTCCTCCCTCCCCTCCCCTCCTCAACCCAATCCCTTCCCTCCTCTCCTCTGCCCCTCTCCCTCACCTGAATCGTGATGGCTTGCTCCTTGTTGGTGGCCTTGTCCTTGGCGCCCACATGCACGATGCCGTTGGCATCAATGTCAAACGTCACTTCGATCTGCGGCATGCCTCGGGGCGCGGGGGGGATGCCGACGAGGTCGAACTGCCCCAGCAGCTTGTTGTCTGCCGCCATCTCCCTCTCGCCCTGCAGCACCTTGATTCCCACCTGCGTCTGCCCGTCTGCTGCCGTGGAGAACACCTGAAACCGGAGGAGGGGAGAGCGGGGCGAAATCGGGGCGAAAATGGGGCAGAAAACCGGGGAGAAAAGAGGGTGAGTGGAGTAGAGTGGTAGGGCAAGCAGCACGGCACGGCATGCCTCTGGGCGCGGGGGGGATGCCCACGAGGTCCAACTGCCCCAGCAGCTTGCTGTCTGCCGCCATCTCCCTCTCGCCCTGCAGCACCTTGATCACCACCAGGCTCTTCTTGGTTGGGATGGTGGTGTTGCGGTTGATGAGCCTCGTGAACACCCCTCCCAGCGTCTCGCAGTTGTTGCTAACCCTAAACTAGTCAGATCCACCTCCAGATTTTGCGGAGCAATGGTCTAAAAGCACCCACCTGGCTCTTCTTGGTGGGGATGGTGGTGTTGCGGTTGATGAGCCGGGTGAACACCCCTCCCAGCGTCTCAATGCCCAGCGACAGCGGCGTCACGTCCAGCAGCAGAAGGCGAGGGAGGGGGGAGCAGGGAGCAGAACTTGCCTCTTCTTCTTTGCTGCTAAACCCACCTGGCTCTTCTTGGTGGGGATGGTGGTGTTGCGGTTGATGAGCCGCGTGAACACTCCTCCCAGCGTCTCAATCCCCAGCGACAGCGGCGTCACGTCCAGCAGCAGAATGTCCTTCACGTCGCCCCGAAGCACGCCGCCCTGGATCGCCGCCCCCATCGCCACGCACTCGTCCGGATTCACGTTCTTGGACGGCTGCCGCCCGAAAATCTCCTGCACGACCTCTTGCACCTTGGGCATGCGAGACATGCCGCCAACAAGGATCACTTCGGTGATGTCCTTCGCCGAAATGCCCGCATCCCTCAAGCAGTCCTTGCACGGCTGCCGCGTGCGCTCCACCAGAGGGTTCACCTGGGGAAAGGGGTGGGGGATAAAGGGAAGGAGGGGTGCATTAGCAGGAGCGCCAGGAGATTCAAAGGGACCCTTTGCCCCCAATAGCATCTGCGGTGATAAATGGAATGCAGATGTCCGCCTTGCTCATGCTCAACAGCTCGCACTTGCCCTTTCAGAGATTCTATGTTTGGAAACAGGAGCCCAGCTCACCAGAGTCTCGAACTTGGAGCGGGTAAGAGTGAAGCTCAAGTGCTTCGCTCCAGTAGCATCAGCAGTGATGAACGGGATGTTGATGTCCGTCTGACTCGTGCTGGAAAGCTCGCATTTGGCCTTCTCAGCCGCCTCCCTCAGCCGCTGCAGGGCCAGGCGGTCCTTTGTGAGGTCGATGCCCTGCTCCTTCTTGAACTCGTCAACTAGATGCTGAAGCAAAGCATTATCGAAATCCTCTCCTCCCAAGAAGGTGTCTCCGTTGGTAGCTTTCACCTGAAAGCCAGGAGAGCACGGAACAGCAGAAAAGAGGGGGGGAAATCGGATTCTTCTTGAACTCATCCACCGGGTGCTGCAGAAAAGAGGGGGGGAAAAACGGAGCAGAATTGGTCGAGGAACGAGCACAGGAGCAGGCAGCAAGCAAGCAGCATCAAGCCAGGTGGTACGTGGTGAGCACAAACGCGGCCACGAGCCCCTCCTTGCGACTTTTGAGGCGCCTCAAAAGACGATTTTTTAGGCTCCTCAACGCAGAAACGATTATTTAGGCGCCTCAAAAGACGATTTTTTAGGCGCCTCAAAAGCAGCATCAAGCCAGGCGGTACGTGGTGAGCACAAACACGGCCACGAGCCCCTCCTTGCGACTTGTGAGGCGCCTCAAAAGACAATTTTTGAGGCGCCTCAAAAGACGGTTTTTTAGGCGCCTCAAAAGCAGCATCAAGCCAGGCGGTACGTGGTGAGACGCTCCAGATGCTGGAGTTCCAGCACAAACACGGCCATGAGCTCCTCGAGTTGATTTTTGAGTCGACTCAAAAATCAACTAGCTCCAACACAAACACGGCCACGAGCCCCTCCTTGCGGTCCATGCCGTACGATAGACTACCCTATTCCACCCACACAAACGGCAAACGTACCCCGAACACCCCGCCAGAGATCTCGAGGATAGAAATGTCAAATGTCCCGCCTCCCAGGTCGAACACAGCCACGAGCCCCTCCTTGCGGTCCATGCCGTACGACAGACTGGCCACATCATGCTCCTACCTATAAGCTCACCCCAAATACACACGCACCTCGAACACCCCTCCAGAGATCTCCAGAATGGAGATATCAAACGTGCCTCCACCCAAATCAAAAACCGCGACCAGCCCCTCCTTGCGGTCCATGCCGTACGACAGACTGGCCGCGGTGGGCTCGTTGATGGTCCTCAGCACGTCCAGCCCTGCGATCTATTTTCCACAGCGGATTGCACTCCCTCCCAATGCACTCCTTCCCTGAGCCACTCACAGAAAGGGAACAAGTGACGTACCTCAAACACCCCGCCAGAAATCTCCAGAATGGAGATATCAAAGGTGCCTCCTCCCAGGTCAAAAACAGCAACCAGACCCTCCTTGCGGTCCATGCCGTACGACAGACTCGCCGCCGTGGGCTCGTTGATGATCCTCAGCACGTCCAGCCCTGCGATCCGCCCCGCGTCCTTGGTGGCCTGGCGCTGCGCGTCATTGAAGTAGGCCGGCACCGTGATGACTGCCTTGGACACGGGCCGACCCAGGTAGGCTTCCGCTGTTTCCTTCATTTTTCCCAGGACAAAGGCCCCGACCTGGGACAAGGAAAGCAGGCAGACGGGAATGCCATGCAAGGGGGATAAGGCAACAGGGTTTAGGGCGCCGTGGGCTCGTTGATGATTCTCAGCACGTCCAGCCCTGCGATCCGCCCCGCGTCCTTGGTGGCCTGGCGCTGCGCGTCGTTGACCTGGGGAAAGGGGCAAGGGGAAAGCATGAGGATGGGTTGGGATGGGTGCGCAAGAGGGGATGGGATGTGGGGGAGATGTCAGGCAGCAGGATCACAGCGATTGTGTGGGCTTGTTGATGACCCTGGGCACCTTATTCACGTTTCATCTGCCGTATCATCTGCCGTTACAACTGCCGTTTTATCTCTACTGGCTCGGGGAGTACTTCTGCCCGCCCGCCTCCACCCACGCATCCCCGTTACAAGCTACACGATATTATACAGCACATTCTTTCTTGATTCTGCGTCTAGGGGTCAACACACTGTCGCCAACTAGTGTGTCATCTACCGTAATGGCTCCCGTAACATCTACCAACTACCGTTACATGCCTGGCTCGGAGAGTACTTCTGGCCGCCCGCCTCAACCCACGCGTCTCCATTGGGTGCGCGCACGATATTATATGGCACCATTTTCGCCTCCTTCTGCGTCTGGGGATCGTCAAACTGCCGCCCAATAAGCCGCTTGGTGCCAAAAAGGGTGTTGGTGGGGTTGGTGACCGCCTGTCGCTTGGCCGGAGTGCCAACCAGCCGCTCGCCCTTGGGGGTGAACGCCACGACGGAGGGCGTGGTGCGCGCTCCCTCAGCATTCTCGATAACCCGAGGGGTCTGAGAGCGGGGACGGGAGGTGGAGGTAGAGGAGAGAGGGGTAGAGAAGGGGGTGTGACGGCCAGTCGCTTGGCCGGAGTGCCAACCAGCCGCTCGCCCTTGGGGGTAAACGCCACGACGGAGGGCGTGGTGCGCGCGCCCTCAGCATTCTCTATAACCCGAGGGGTCTGAATGGGGGTAGAGGGGGTAGGGGGTTTAGGGGGTCAGGGTAGAGGGTCGTAAATGTCGTGGCGGAATGACCGCAAGCTGCTCGACCTTGGGGTTGAACGCAACAACGGACGGCGTCGTGCGCGCGACCTCAGCATTCTCGATAACCCGAGGGGTCTGGGGCAAGGAAGAGGGGAGGGGGCAGGAAAGGGGGGGGAGGAAGAGCGAAGGGGGCAGGAAAGGGGGCGGAGGAAGAGCGAAGGGGGCAGGAAAGGGGGGGAAGGAAGAGCGGAGGGGCAGGAAAGGGGGGGAAAGAGGCGGAAGGAGGGAGTACAGGGGAGTCTTGGAAGTGTCGCTTTGGCGGCCATATAACATATCAACATTCATAACTCTAGTCTCAAACCTTGAAGCTCACCTTGCCTTCTGTCACAACGTTCTGAACCAGCTCAAAGCCAAGACGTTTTTCAACGCTCAAACCTCAAATTCCACTTGCTTTCCATAACAGCGCCCATGCGGTTACTGCGCCGTTGTAACAAGTATACTAATGCCTCGTTACAATCGCATCTTGATAACCTCTAAGCTCAGCTCACCTTGCCCTCCATAACAGCGACGCAGGAGTTGGTGGTACCGAGATCGATACCGATAACATCGCCGCCCGCTGCGGAGCTGCACGGGGGAAAAAAACAAAAGAGGACGGGCGAATCCCACAAATGGGAAGAAGAAGCGGAAGTGAGGGAAAGAGCAGGAGGAATTAGTGACGATGTGATGAATGCCGATCGCACCGCTTCCTATTCACAGACTGGTTGAGCTCAACCTAATCACGTGGACATGCAGAAGACGCGAGAGCAGGAAAGTTCGCAGAGACCAGGAAACGAAGGGGAACGCGGAATGCGTCACAAGCGGGATTCAAAGCTCTGTCTTCGAAGCGCGGACGGCGTGCTGCCGAAGCTCTCACCTGCGAACCGCAGATCCAAAGATGGACGATACCTGAAGGATCGCGCGCCGTTGGTCCATCGGCGCATGATGGACGATGCGACGGACGCCGCTGACGCTGCGCTGTGCGTATGGAAGCATCACCCATAGCCAACAACACAAAAATCTCCTGTGAAAGAGGCAGTACCTGAATGCTCGTGCACCGTTGGTCCATCGTCGCATGATGGACGATGCGACGGACGCCGCTGGTGACGCTGCAACTACCTCCTGCAACACAGACGAGGCCGAAAAGAGTACAGAAACAGATCAGCCGGGAAAATGGTCAGGTAGGAATGGACAGGTACGGACGCACTTCAAGCAAAGAGAGGACAAAAACTTTTAGTATGAAAACAGCTGGAAAACACCCCTGGACGAAGCGACTTAGACAACGGTGAGATAGGAGGGACAGAAACTTTCCACGGAAACCTCTGCTGCACTCCCTTTACGCATCTTCTTGATCTAATATCGGTTGGCTGGTATGTTGTCTCTTCAAATATTTAATCTGGTGAAGCTAGTGGAAGGATCTGACGTCAACCTGATGTGGTAAAGTCAGGAATCCCAGTCTGAAAAAAGTGACGTGGATTCGCAAAGATCTGATCTGGCACTTACTGCTGACTCTGGCAGAGCCCTCTGCATAAAGCTCTGAGCCGCTGCTGACGTGGAGAAGCTCGCAATCGCGCTTCCAGCGTTTCTGTTGGCCGATCGGGCCAACAACCTCGCCGCTAGGTACGCCGCCATGGTCGGTTTCGGGGATCCGATAAAAGAAGGTTCGACTTGTAACGAGTCGACGCTGGAAAGACGGCGAGATTCGTGGATGGAAAAACGGATCGGATCGAACGGCGAAGGTGGAAAACGGTGGAACGTGATCGGATGATCTGGCGACCAAGCGAGAACGATGGAGCTTAGACTCCAACAACGTGCGAATCGCGATAAGGCCTGACAACAGCTGAGACAAAGAGCCTCCCTCCCAAGAGACACGCACGGAGACGGCAAGTCAAAGCATGTGAACTGCCTTTCAGCTCTCCTGCTGTTGGGAGAGGACGACAACACAAAAGATAGCGAGATTTGCGACACCCGGTAACATATATTTGATGGTTAGCGACGAATTTTGCATTGGGATACCGACCCTGGTTACAGAATGTGAAATATCCCCGACATGGCGGCGAAGCGCAGCAGCTTCTAGAAAGGTGACACTCGCTCGATTCTTCGCTGCCATGCCCACAACCACGGAGATTGCTGACGTGGGCTGCTATTCAGGAACAGCGAAAGGCAAACGCTTCCTGCACAAGCAACCTCGTACGCGGTATGGACGTGAGCAGCATGTTTTTGAGGTTCTTCTAGTCGAGTTGTATTTTGTTTGGCACTGCACAATGCTACCGTCACCCCCCGGATATACCCCCATGGGGGGCTATAATATAACATGTTTTTTTGAGGGGGTGGGCTTATAATATAGTAAATTTATAAGCGCCGGCGTTTATAATTTGTCAAAATTGAATTTTGTTTTTAAATATACCAAATCGAAGCATTCTCAAAGGCGGATTCACCTGGGTCGAGAACGTTCGAAACTGTGCATGCATTGCGCGTGAAACGGCCAACAAGGCGTGGCTTCACGCCTTCCACGCCTTGTTGGCCAGGCCAGGTTCATCGAACGTGAACCTGGCCCATGCCAGTGCACACGTACCTCGCATCACAGCGGCCCAATCAGGGTTGCATGCGATCGTGGGCACGTCGTGGTTCAGCCACGGTGTGCCCATCAACAGCAAAATTCCCCGCCACCGAGGCAAGGAGCTGCCCAGCTCAGCTCCTCTGCGGGGAATCTTGACTGGGGCCACCCTTTTCCCGCAGAGGAGGCCGGGCCGCGAAAATGAAGGGGTCTCGGGCGAGGGCTTCATACAACCCTCATTCTCGACTTTTGCCTTCAGTTTCTTTGTTCGTTTGGCCTGCCGTGGCCATGGCGGGCCTTCCACGCACGCATTTCTTGTTCCGCCGCCATCCTGCTGCTAGAGAAAACACCCGCCGAGACACATGTGACTACTCTCAATGGCAGTCGCGCCCTGCGCCCGTCCCTCCGTGTCAACCAGTAGCTCCTCCCGTTCCTCCCACTCCTCCAACTCCTCCTGCACCTCCCGCTCCCCCGGCGCCTCCGGTTCCTCCAGCTCCTCCGTCCCCTCCTGACCCGCCTGTGTTTGGTGCTCCACGTCAGGGGGTCCTGCAGCTTCTCCTCCCTCCTGGCTACTCGGCGTTTGACGCGTACCTGTCCGAGCCCGACCGCGCCGGTGGCGCATCGTCTTCCTCCGCACCGTCGCCACGCTGGGGAGCCCCGGCTGATTGCCCGTTGGACGAATCCGCGGCTGGTGCGGAGGATGACGTGGAGTTTTGGGCTGCCGACGGTCTTCCAGAGCACCTGCCTATTCCCACCTTCCCCCCCCCCAATAAGAAACGGCCCCACCCTTCTCGCGAGAATCGCGATGCCCGTCCTCCCTCCCCCAGGCACAAGCCTTCAAGTCACAAGCGGCACTCTTACACATCGCAGGAGAAACTGCAGTGGATTCTCAAGCTTGAGTCCGGGCACATGAGCGTGCGGCAGATGTCTCGCCAAGCCGGCATCTCCCGAAGGTCACTCGCAGAATGGAAGACCCGGAAGGCTGACCTGGAGGGCGCGCATGCTGCTCGCAAGCGTCTTCATGGGCGCGGAAGGAGCTCGTGGTATCGCGACATGGAAGCTGAAGTCTACAGGAGGTTTCTTGCCCACCGTAAAAAATGTCTCGCGGTCTCGATCGCTCGCCTACAGAAGTGGTCGCATGAGGTGATGAAAGAATTGCACCCACAGGTAAAGTGGTCCGGCTCGCAGCGGTGGACTGAGCGGTTTCGCCGCCGTTGGAATCTGACAACCCGAGCGAAGACCAGGGTCGGCCAGAAGCTTGCTGCCAGTGAGTTTGTGGGAAATGGTTGCAGTTTAATGTGTACTGCTTTGTGTTGTTTGTCTCTTTATGTTTCACGGTTGAATTTTAACGCGTCATTAATACTGTCTTCTCTCCTTCCCTCCCACCCGTACTCCCAGACTGCGAGACTGACGTCAGGAATTTCTGGAAGTTCGTGCGTCACACCCGCCGCCAATACAAGATTGACCCGCAGTGGATAATAAACGCGGACCAGACACCACTGTGGCTCGAGATGCCTGCCGAACGCACAGTCGAGGAGGTGGGTCTGCGCTCTGTGCCTATCCGCAGCGGCGGCTATCAGAAGGAGCGAGTTACGGTGATGCTCGCCTGCACTGCCAGCGGTGAGAAGCTGAAGCCGTGGGTCTTCTTCAAACGGAAGACCCTGCCTAAAGGGGATTTCCCTTCAGGTGAGCATTAACACCCACTACTGCATGTTTTTTTTTTTCAATGTCTACTGATGTTGTATGTGCGTTTGTGGCTGTGCAGATGTTACGGTGTCCGTCCATCCCAACGGTTGGATGGACGCGGACGGAGTCATTGAGTGGCTCGACGGGGCAGTGAAGCCGTTCGTCCACACCAAGTTTGGAGTGAGGCCCCGCAAAGCGATGCTCGTCTTGGATTCGTACCGCGGGCACCTGACTGCGGAGGTGAAGAAGAAGTTCGGGGAGCTGAACATCGTCCCTGCCGTTATCCCAGCTGGCTGCACCTCGGAGATTCAACCTCTGGACGTCGCGGTGAATCGCTCCTTCAAGGCATCCGTTCGACAGCTCTACCAGGAGTGGTTCGAGAGCGAGGGGGTCGACACCTTGACAAAGAAAGGTGAGAGAGGCAGGCCATGCCTGTGCTGCTTTATCAGTTTGTAGCGGTGGCTGACTTTTGATTGTTTAAATTTTATGGCAGGCAACATCAAGAAGCCACCACCCGAGCTAACGCTCAAGTGGATATCAGCGGCTTGGAAGGCCGTGCCCAGGGACTTGATTCAACGGGCTTTCCTCACCTGTGGCATTAGTAACGCCCTGGATGGGACCCAGGACAAGATCTGCCTGCAACACAGGCGCGACGAGCTTGAGGGCGACGAAATAGACATCGACGACGACATTGCAGCAGATGGCTTTTTCTGCAACAACGTAGAAGAACCAGAGTCGGACTCTGAGGCCGACCCGGATGATCCTACCGCAGCTGATGACTAGATTACGTAGATCTAGAAATTGCTGTAGCCTGTGAGACTCGTAGGTAGATTTAGAACTGTAATTAGAAAAAACTGTAGATAAACTGACTTTGTATTTAATTAGATGAAAATATAAGTTGTTAATGTGGTTAGTGAAGTTTGTAGAAAAAAAATATTTAAAAAAGTGGCGGTTATAATGTGTAAGGTACAGGTATGCGGTTATAATCCGTACGACTCTAGGGTATGCGCTTATAATCGAGGAGGGGATATAAGCGCCATATGCCAATTAGAAGCGCCAGGCGCTTATCCTAGGGTGGCGCTTATATCCGGGGGGTGACGGTACCAAACTAGGACACATGACCTGTCTGATGTAGGCGCAATGTTACGAGTGCAATTGAGTGAGCGAACGAGAATTGCACTATCGAAGCAAGAATAAAATGAGCGAAGGCATGAGCGAAGAATATATAGCGAAACTACAGTGGTAACGGTAATGGACTGTGGTTGTCGCGCGACGAGCCTGGGACTGAGGTTGGGAAAGTGTCGAAGCGTAGGCCCGGAGCGCGGGTTACCAGCCGAGCCGTGAGGTCGGGATGCGATGTGCGAAATTGGCGGGGTGATTGTCGATGCGAGGATCGTGAGTGGTAACGGTGCTGACTGAGGTGCTACAGTGTTGTACGCATTGAGCAGGGATGCGAAGTATCTTAGAATCCTAAGCAAAGGTAGGCTTAGAAGCCATAGTTTAGGTGCCTAGGTGATCGAGTTCGAGAGAGTTAGGAAAGTGTCGAGAGATTCTTGAAAGAGAAGTGGTTTCACTAGCAAGAGTTGGGATACAAGTACAATGCCCTAAATTGGGTTGTACTCATTACAGAGTACCCCACTGCAGGCTAGACAGCAAATATATTCTGACACACCCCCATAGCCAAAGTGGGGTGTAATCAGCAGAGCAGGCAAAGCAGTACAAGCTCAGGGTGGATCACAATGTCACCACACATTCTGAGCACAAGTTCAATAAGCAATAGTTAAAGTGCACAATTATCAGCAAAGCTAGTGGTAGTCACAACGGGCAAGTGAGGAGGAGGGAGAGTGAGAGGAGAGGAGATAGAAGGCGGCGGCTGAAGCTGCAGACACACGGGCAACAGGAGTGGCGAGCACAGTGGCTACCGGACTAAGCGCCCGGACTACAGGAGTAACAGGCCCCGCGGCTCAAGTAGCGGCAGACGGGCAACGGACCCTCGGGCGACTGGCGCAGCAACAAACTCACTGGGCTACCGGACTAAGCGCCCGGACTACAGGTGCTGCGGACAACAGACTGGCAACCTCCGCTCATCCTCCCGCACACAGTCCCACCCCCCCCGACACACACCCGCTGCTATACCACTAGCTCCACTCCCACCCACCCCCCCTTAGACCCGAAACCCAAGACTCCCACACAACCACCCCCCTCAGCGAGAGCTGTAGCAGTGGGAGACGAAGGAGGAGGAGGAGGAGGGGACGGCACGCACAACCGACACCCCCACAACGAGCACCCCCACACTCACCCCCCACGGCTGCACCTGGTCCATGAGCGACTGCTGCAGGGGCCAGGGGCGGCTGCTGTTGGTGCGGCTGCTCCAGTGGCTGCTGCTGCT